TCATGTCTTTTTATTTTTTTTAAAACCGGACTTTTTAAAGTCCCGATGTCCTCTACAGAGGACTTGGCATAACATATAAATAAAATATAATTTTTCTAAAATTGTATTTTTCAAAATTGTTCTTATGCTCTAAACAATGTAATGACATGACAAAATACTAAATTCACAAAACTGTTTTTTCCTGGTAGTCAGGAGGATATAATATATACAAAAATATTTCTCAACAGTGCATGATTGAAAATAGTAAATAAACAGACTTCAGTATCATGCTGTGTTCCATTAGCTTTATCTGAAATGGTCTTAACTTTCTTTCCAGGCTTCAAACCCTCTTGATGTTGCAGCACGACCAGGAACAGTTCCACACACTCTCCTTCAGAAGGACCCAAGGGTAAGCCACTCACTCTGGAGATCCACTTAAGAGATTGGCCATTAAAACGGAATCAGGATTGTGATGTTTTTAGCATTTCATGAACCTGAACTTTGTTAGAAAACATATCTCTCTGTCTGTGTCCTTTTCTCTGTTTCACACAGATAACAGATCCTTTTAGAACTTCAGTAAGAGTAAGCATCATATTTTCATTCTCTTTCAAATCCCTACATTTTCCTCCTTAAACGCCACCATCTTTGTGCTAATGCTTTGAAATGTCCTCTGTGCTCATGTCAGAAGCCAGGCAAATGGTGTGCAGTGCATGTTCAAATCGCCTGGCAGATCTACCATCATCAGCAGAAGATGAAAGTACGTTCTTTTTGGAAGCCTCTCTTGTCTCTTTTCTCTAATACAGTGTAGCCTAATTACAAGAATACACAAGTATGCATTGTAATGATTCATGCATTAGAGACCAACTCAGTAATTTTCCCTCATTAAGGACCATTTACACACAAAAATTTTGTACAGTGACTCCGGTCATATATTATATTATATTATATTATATTATTAAAATGACTTGTCTCACAAAAGCAGATGCACATGGACCCTCATAAACTGGATATGAATGGAAAACTTGATCTGTTCAGCCGTCCTCCAGCTCCAGGCGTGTTCCCTGGGTTCCCCTACCCTCATGATCTGGCCAGACCCCTCTTTTCATCAACAGGTATGTGCAGAATATGAATGAGAAAACTCTTAAAGTGAACATGAAATCAAACTTGACCCTGTTTAATAATAACACACATTCCTGAATATATTGTGCATAGTTCAGTTATTCCAAAAGAAAAATGTATGCGTAAAATCAAATCCTGCCCTACATGTTTTTTCTCATTGAATGTCCTGTAAAATGGGTAACAACCAACATGTTATATTAACTTTAAGTTCTCAAGCTGAAAAGATGCCAGTTTTAAATGAAAAGTTGTGGTTACACAACCATTCCTGGAAATAATTCCCTTTCCTGCTGTTTTGGGAAAGCCTGATGCTGAAATCACCTCTAAACCTGAAGAAATTCTACTTAAATATATTTCATTTTCATTTCACTTATCAACTATATTTATAATCCAATCAAGGTACTGCTCTCACAGATTTTTTATATCTTATCTTGTAAATTATACCGCAATCTCTTTATTGGCATGGTTTCAGTAAAATAAAAATGGATTTGTATGTCTTTCTTTCTCTCATGTTCCTTGCTCACTAATTTGCATGTTGTTATTTTGAACGTTGTCTTGGCTCAACGCTGGGGCCACGGGCATGAATATAAATGCTTTTACCTGATATAATTGACTGGTAGCTCTTTGTTGAAGGGCAACATGAGCATGTCTGCCCTTTAGATTGTAATTATGCAGCGTGGTGTCATGAAGGAGCTTGTAATTGGTTTCTTCATTAATGATACACAGTAACAAATGACATATCGTTCAGGCTGAATAGACAGTTGACCCTTTCAAATGCAACCTGAACACTCAATCTAAGACATCACTGTCCTTTTTATTGTCCGTGCAAACTATTCTAACAGCTTATTACTGAAAGTCCCGCCCCAAACACACACCATTGGTTGAGCCCGGCTGACTTCTAGTTGTCTCTGCACATTAAACTGGAATAGGAGAAAGTATTTAACCTAACAAGACCGATCTTTACCCAAGACCTCTCTTGTCTCTCTCTATATATATAGAGAGAGAGACTACATCTAGTGCTGTTTTGGTGAATATTTAAATGGTTTGGCTAACTTTGTCTGCAGTCTGTTTGACTGATTATTTCCTGCTATATTCAATAGCATCGGGACATCCAGCTGCTTCACCCTATGGACCGTCTCCTCACCACACTGCCTTCCTGCCTCCTAGCCATTTGGCAGGTAAGTGTAAGTAAACCACCATTTTAAATAGTTCCTCTCTTTTCATTCATAACTTAAACTCAATACATTCATCTGATGTTAAATCCCTCTTTTATTCAGGCAAAAGCAAGGCAAATACAATTTGTTCCATATGTTGTAGTGCTGCACCTTAATGGTGATCATTTAGCTATAAAAGCATGTCTTTCCAAAATTTTCTTAAACCAAAATAAAAACAAAACAAAATATAAAAATAAATATTTTGAAAATCAGACATGACTTAGTGCAGAATCTAAAATAATGACGCATTAAAAATATACTGTACTTATGTCTCTCATAGTCTTGTTTTTGTTTGTCAAGTAAAATATGATATTTACGTTTACACTGCCTTCAATTAAAAATAGAAAACATTTTATGCGTTTTGGCCGTTTATTTACATGTCAACAGCGTTTCGGGCCCTTAAAATGCAAGCAGCTTAAGTAAAGCAATGGGCTGAGTCTAACCAAATGCAACATTAGATCATTGACAACAGCTAAAATATAACTTTTCAGTAAATAACAAACCTCATCTTTTATAATAAATTTAGATAGGATTACATCTAGTTTAAGTCAAGTGTATATCAAATAGATGGAAACTGTAGTATTAAAAACACTTTACAATAAGAT